CACAGAAACACGCTGCCGTACTAATAATGCTCTGACGGAAACACTCCTCCTTTACCCACTTCACGGAGGCTAGAGGCCACACGCAGTCTTAACACTTTAAGAACCCTGGAACAAAGCTTATAATTGTCATTATAAAGGTCTGCATAGGACTCTTTGCTCAAGTACAACTCTCAAGGCTACAATGCAGGCTGTCTTATTGGAGTTTATTTTATGACTGACAGATGGCAGCACGAATGCACTGCTGACTAAAAAGCTACTGAACCAGGGATCTTTTTATGCTTGTTAGGCAAATATGTAAACCACTACATTATGGCGCTGCTAAGTACAGGGGTAGATTTTTGAAAATTTCATCCTTATGTAGGCAGTTTTCTTTAAAATGGCGAGATGGATTCAGCACAGTAATTCAAAAAGAAGAGCTTTCCGTACTGGAGGTCCACTCGTGAAGAGGCTGGAGACCGTAGACTACTTGCAGACTAAAATCTGTGAGTGATCAAAAGAGGATGGGCTCCAAGATAAATGAATGTCAGCGTTTAGGTGATGCATGCAGAGTGACTGCTGACAGCCATATAACAGTTCAACTGAGATTACATGTTTCCAGAGAGACCTGGCCAAGAGAGCAGCACAGAGTGTAACCGATGGAAACAAATATAGAACTCAACATCCAGATCGTACGAAATAATCTATCCAGAAGATGCGTAAAATCTGAGAGTCCAGGGCCTTCGCCATCTGCCTCCAGTCGTCTGAGGTTGCAGTTTCTTTTTACATCATCCTCAGGTTCAAAGGTGATTAAGGTGTCATGAACTGAAGTTCAGTACACAAGCTGGACCCAGAAGCAGAGACAATACGCACAGGAGTACGAAAAATAAATTTTATTTCAACTAAAGGTGCCCCGGAAGGGTTGAAGGAAAACACACGAGAAACTAGAAAAACTGAGGGACCGGGGAATGAGTTACACAGGAACGCCGTAATCGGGACTGTGGGAAGCTGCAACAGAAAGAGGAAGAGAGTTACTGGGGAGCGGGGAAATAGCAGCATACGTGGGGGAGAGTATGAGTCTTACAGTCAAAGCGGGGCCGTGGGAGCCGGAGGGAGGGGTGAGGGTCTGCGGGGGAGCACCAGGAAAGTAGAGGCGATCGGTACCGGAGGCGATCCAAACTCCAGACGGGCAGGTGGCTCAAAAACACGCCGAGCTGTTACCTCAGCGCAAAGAAAAAGATTAGCGTTTGTTCAGGTAAATGAGGGTTTTCACAACCGCCTTCCCGTGGGTGTACGTTACCGCTGTGAGACGACTAACGGACTGGCGTGGAGCAGCTGGCTGGGCTGGATCAAATAGTCCACCTGATAATCGCCTGAGATGGGATGCAGGTGTGGAGTTAACAGCCACACCCGTGGGCGTGGGCATCCCATCAGCTCCTCGGACACCGGGCCGCGGACCACGACATAAGGCTGTTTGTCAGTTTGCTCAAATGTCCCAGGGACAAGCTGGATTGATTAAAATAGGCATATATGTTCTTTCAGAGGCGCGTGAGAAAAACACGGTTAATGTCAGGGATCAACTGTGACTTATGCTCTAATGCCCGATGTAAATGATGCAGTAGCTGTTGTTATTATCGGGGATTTGGCACAATCTGACATTTCACTGAAAAAACAAAGAACAGATTGACTACATTGACAGTGAACACTGATGCTGTCAGTCGCTATAAAGTGAAAATGAATCCGCAGCTGCATTATTCATTAGTTTGATCGTTCAAGTTCAAACTCAACACACCTTTCCTGCCTACAGAACAGTCTGTTATAATGAATGTACAATAGTATTGGACTGAGCTGAAAGCATACATCCCTGGTGGCTAACATCACTGACTAAACAGTAATACTCTACTTTGTATTGCTAATGATTTTGGCTTTCTGCGTGTACATTTGCACATTTGGTTTGAACTCCCTTTTTTGAACTAAAGCACAGGCATAAAGCATAAGGAGTGAACTAGGGCAATAATTGAACAGACGTTTCTTTTCAGCCATCAGCTCCGAACTTTTCTAGACCCAGTGCGGCGTTACTGGACGGTGAAGGCTTTTTAATCTGCCAGCTCCCCGACGCAGAGTGGATGGTACTAGATCGCCGCAGTGCCAGACCAGCGCAATTAATCATGCAGCGAATTCACAGCGAGCACGGGGGCATTATCTGCGCCGCCTCTTGCGTACTCTATCGAGGCAGCACCCCCACCTACGCCAAACAGAGGTTCGCTACTTGCGAGTAGTCGAAACCTCGCGTGTGAAAAAACATGTTTATTAGCAAAGTGTTTGGCAGCGAAGTTCATAAGGTGGACCCAGTTACAGGAGAACGGGCATGAAGGTAACGAGAAAAGTTTAATGGCTCCATGCACCGCCACGAAGAAGAGAAAACAACAAAAAACACTAAAACTCAATCTGCAAGAATGAGAAAAACTAAGTGTGCATACCACACAGACTGGGGTAATGCACTAAAGAACTACAGCTTCCAGTCTCTGGTCCCAGAGTTTCGTGATAGTATAAAGATCGGCGCTGGTACATTAAAGCCGAAACCTGATAGAAGCCTGTACCGGAGACAACAGCTACAAATAAGGCGCTATTTGTGTGTGTGTGTGTGTGTGTTTCTGTGGGTATTTTTCAGTAACAAACACTTGGTTTCCTGTGTCCCGTGGTGTTTGCCAGACCTCTGTGTTCTCTGCTCTGACTTGGAAGTCCTACAGCTGGATAAATCCAAAGATAAGACAGGAGACCAGGAGTTGTCCTTAAATGACCAGAGAACAAACATCCACCTGGAGCCATATTTTCCACTGCCTGCCAGGTCAGCCTGTTGTCCTCAGATGACCCAGCAAACAAACAGACAGACAGACAGACAGATAACGATTCTACTCCTGGTTGTAGTAGTACAGACAGACAGACAGTCAGTGGGGTCAGGCTGCACTGACTTTCACATGTTCTCAGGAGCAAGAAACTTTAATAAAAAGAACTTTTTTTCAGTCCTGCTGAAAACCCATTAAGGGTTTATACAATACAATAACTTTATATGCCATAAAATACTGAAATAAAGTCCTTGCTCCTGGACTTTTGAATAGGTCGCATGCTATTGTGATTCCTCCATCAGAATATGATGGTACAGTCTATCCACAACGCTATACAATAATGCCCTTATTACTACTGGAAGAGGCACACATTGTGGAAAAATCCACTTTCTAATTTCTGTTTCCTTTCATTGGTTCAGCTCAGAAAAGAATAACTTAGGAAACAGTCTGCCTTTAGAGAAAGCAAATAAATTCAGACTTTTTTCTTGTTGAATATCATAAATAAATCAGTTTTGCTGAACTCATAGGGTAGCTGGGTTACTGTTACACGAGTATGTCAGATGATATTTATCACTTAGGTCATTTTTTAAACATTGAGGTCTTAGGGCCAGGACGGGTCCTCGGTGTTTATTAACAGAGGTCCGACAGTCAAAAGGGTCTTCTGATTGTTGAAAATACGTCCTTTAAGCCTACATTTGGTTCTTTTTGTTCCTTTTAACTTTAGTCGACATGGTGTAGCGGTTTACACTCTCACCTAAAAAGTTAGAAAATGTTTGATCCCAGGACACAAATCCCATTGGGATCCCATCAGAGCTACCAGCTGTGGCGACCCATGGGTCATTTCATTTTCGGTCCTCTCAATCAGAGGAGCTCTTTGATTGGCTGACCACTCTGAAAATAAGGATGGCTAACTTCGACCCTCTGGAATTTTTTCAAACTGTTACTCAGGCGAGAAATCGTCTCCTAGGATCACATGTTTTTCTGCGGGAGCCTGGAGACACTCGGGACACTGGTGTTGTTTAGTCACCAGGAGGCAAAGTGATGAGTCACCTGCGAGGCACATAATGAAGTGTTTAACCCCCCCGCCTTACGTCACAGTGGCCCCGTTCTCGCCTCGACTTTTCCATTCGCCAGCCTATGAGCTGTTTGTGTACCCTGACTGTGATAAGGCTTGGTAAGAACAGGCGAACGGAGCTGAGATAAGACTGAGATCTGTCATATCTTTCCAAAACCTCAGACAGGGCGTGTGTTTGTTTACCGTCTGTCTGCTTTTTTTTCACCATCAAATTCCTTCCCTCCTTCTCTGGTCCCATGTCATTTCTTCTCTTGAACTTCTTTAAACCTGCGTCTCTTCATCTTATGTTTGATTTCTGCCTCCTTTGTATCTCCCCCTCCCGTCTCATCTTTTCTTTGTCATTTTCACCGCTTTTTCCTAGCTCAACTTCCTGTGGGTTGCCTCCCTCCTTTATGTTTTGAGCATAGCTTTTCCTCCTCTGCAATTTCCCCTTTTCCTTCGCCCATCGTACGCCTTCCCCGTGTGCGCTGCATCACTCCCGCACCCTCATTTTACCGTCTGAACGAGGAGAAAATGGCTCGATCTGTTTTACACTGTTTTTCCCTTTTCTCCAGTCGTCCCTACCCCACCTTCCTCCTCCTCCTCCTCTCTCCCTCTCCTCTTTTCTGGGTTTTTATTCCGTTCCCAGACACAAAAAAGCAGCACTTGGCACTTTTGAAATGTAAATAAAGTTTTGTTGTTCCCTCAGCCGTAGCCTCCTCCAGCCCTGTTTATCAGGCAGACTTCAAAGTGGCACACTGACATGTGGCTCTATCTCTCCCTTGCTCTGTGAAATAGGGTCACAGGCGGCGCTTGGCTTTCACAAAAACTTTTCCCTTTCATGTCAGAACCTAGTGGGTGAGAGGAACTAAAGGGGGCCATGCCAGCCAGCCACCCACCCGCTATCCAAACTGAGACACACATCGCACCTCATCCACTGCGGTGTGTGTGTGAATGTTGATGAGAAGTCTGTGTTCGCTTTTCTCAGCTGGTCATTGCAGCAGTTAGCCCTGCCCATGTTTTGCTTGGGTGTATCCGTTTCGCTTGTTGTTTCTGGTATCTCATGAATTTAGTCACTTAGTTGCTCACTCTCTGTCTCCCTCTTTCTCTCTCGTCTCTTTTAGCCGAGGTGCCAGTGCGAGAGCGCCCGAGTAGCCCCTGCTGAGCTTGGGACCGCAGCAACAGGACAAAACACATAAGAGGAAGAAAAATACAAAGGGGGAGTAAGCCGGCAAAGGAGGAAGGAGAATCAGAGGAGACGGCTTGTTGGTTAAAGTTGAGTTTAAAAGGCAAGCCCGACTCTAGAGGAGAGACATATTGATTCACCCTCTCAGCTCACAGAAGGTAAAGAGGCAGAGTTGCTCATCCGTAGGTTGAAAGGTTGACAGACAGCCAAGAATTGAGGATATTGGTCATGACTGCGGGCCTGCTGCTGGGAGGATAGAGATCAGATTAATAGCATCTACAGCGCAGCCTCCATCCTGGTCTGACCCCACCTCTAAACAACCCGTCGATCTCTCCCCCTCAGCCATCACTGTAGTCCACAAAGTCCACTGTGACAAGAGAGCTGAACCCTCATACGGGCTAGTTTACCAGGCTGCAGCGTCCTGTGAGAACAAAGAGTGACCTCACGAGCTGTCGCTGGAGCAGGGAAGAGACACTCACCCGCCGCGGGGCTTTAGAGACGGCGGCCTTTTAACCAAGCACATGGGCTGTTGATGAAGAAAGATGGCAGTGAGACTGACAGGCGCCACCCCTTCCTCTCGGCCACCCTCCCTCCCCCCAGCGGCCGTGGCTCGGACCGGTTAAGGTTGGTCTGTTGGCATCCATCGCAGCATCTGCAGCAGCTGGCAGAGCGTGGGAAGGAGCAGTATGCAGGAAACTGATGTACCGGCCACGAATGCCTTCAAAGGTAAACACGGACAATGGACAGTGGTCTGTGAGTGTGTGTGCGTGCGTGCGTGCGTGCGTGTGTGTCAGCCTGCATTAAAGAAATTACTGACAGGGCCCTGTCAGGTCAGAAACACTGTCAGTACAGCTGGAATCTTTAACACAAAACAGACTTTGGTTGTGAGTCACAATATTTTTCAACAATCAGGTTCAAAGTAAAGTTTTCTATAACAAGCATAAACATTTTCAATGATTTCAATCATTTTAAATCTGCTAGATACTCGATAGTACATACTACTTGTAAGAGGAGGATGTAGAGGATATGCTGTTTATAGAAAAATTCATTGTGTGACTACATGTTCAAATCTTAAGAGCTCCACTTTTAATTAGGGATCAGTCTGGTTTCTTGAAATAGGATTTATAGTTGGTGGTAGTTAAGTTCTGAGGTGGTGAAAGATCAGCTGTTGTGTCTACACACATGGCCATCCTGAACCCAAACAGGTTCCAGAGGTAATCCCATGTAATCATGTTACATTAAAAAAAATCAGCTTCCATATGTTTGAATGGATTAGATACCATCTGCTGTTTCATGCAACTGATTGGTCACAAGCAGCATCTATAAAAGTTCAGCTTCTTCTTATAAAACAGTGGAGCAACCAAAGTTTTGCATGAGATGTCGATGAGATGGCAAAATTACATAAAAGGATTTTGATCATATTAAACTGCATGTATTAAATCAGCGGTCTCCAACCTTTTTTGCGCCACGGACCGGTTTATGCCCGACAATATTTTCACGGACCGGCCTTTAAGGTGTCGCGGATAAATACAACAAAATAAAACTAGTACCGGTACTGAAAAAAATAAGATTTCATATCATAACACACGTGAAAAGACCCAGGAAAACCGAGTTAACGATAAAAACGATAACAAAATAATGCTGAAAACCAATAAAAACCCTGAAAACTATACATTTCACACCTGAGCCTCAACTCTCGCGGCCCGGTACCAAACGACTCACGGACCGGTACCGGTCCGAGGCCCGGGGGTTGGGGACCGCTGTATTAAATCGTATTAAATTTGCCCAATTTCTAGAGATTTTTACTAAGTCTGGCGCTCAGAGATCTTGAGGTTCTGTTCGGGGTTTTAGGCTCACTAACTGTAAGGATAAATGCTCTCCTGCTCTCCAAACAACATGTGGAACTCTGAACTTACATCCTGAATGGGATAATTTCTAACAGTATTTAAAGAAGAGTCAGTCATGGATGCTTCTCGTGTTACACTGCTTTGCAAATCATCTTAGGCTATCCATGCTGATATTTATTCCTTTACAAATAAAACATTAACTCTAGTTCTATAATTTGGCAAAACATCAAAAGAATAAGTCTTGTGTGATTAACGTTTTCTGTGCATAAGTGTTTGTGTTATTTCTTAAGAAGGAAACCCCACTGAATTTGGAATTCTGAATAGAAACCCCACTGATTTGAAACCTTGCACAGACTGAGAGGGGTCTGAGTTATTTTGCTGTTGAAAAGGGCCAGCCAATTGTTGAGGATGATAAGACTGCACCACCAACTGTCAGCACCACACTTTGTAGTCTGATTTTGTGGTATTGCTAAATGCAGTGACAAATCATACTGCACTGATACATGTTTCATTTCCAAAAGGACAACATTGTTTCTGTGCATACACTTGACTCAATCTCCCAAAGCTGGTAGATCATGTGACAGAAAGAAAGAACAAACTGGCTCATGGATGGAAGAGGCAAGACAGCATCATGAAGTGAAGATCTGTCATCTTTACAGTCTATACCAGGGGTGGGCAACTCCAGGCCTTGAGGGCCGGTGTCCCTGCAGGTTTTAGATGTGTCCTTGAACCAACACAGCTGATTTAAATGGCTAAATTAGCTCCTCAACGTGTCCCGAAGTTCTCCAGAGGCCTGGTAACGAACTAGTCATGTGATTCAGGTGTGTTGACCCAAGGTGAGATCTAAAACCTGCAGGGACACCAGCCCTCGAGGCCTGGAATTGCCCACCCCTGGTCTATACAATGAAAGTTGAATGAAGAAAATAAGGATACATGACTGAAATGAGGAGTAGTGTCTGGGATGATCAGGATACAAATTCAAATTAAATTCAGTTCAATTCAGTTTTATTTATATATCACAACAACCATGCACTATATTGTATGGCAAACACCCTAAAATAATACAGAACTTGCACTTGGAGACAGTGGGAAGGAAAAACGTCCCTTTAACAGGAAATAACCTCGACTGAACCAGCCTCAGCTGTCAGCTATCTTTTCAGCAAAAGAGGACACACAGACAGATGTTGCAGTTTATTCCAGCTGATTGGACATCTGCTGAGGTGGAAGCTGGATGGAGCTATGTTGAAAATACACATTTTACGAACCACTTCATGAGGTCGTCACCTGAAATGGTTTTCCAACAGTCTTGGAGGAGTTCCCAGAGATGCTGAGCACTTTTGCTTCACTCTGAGGTCCATCTCATCCCAAACCATCT